CAGATCCCTTCTCTACACCCACACTCCCAGCTTTGAGTTCAATGTTACAGGAAGAACAAGGTAGAGATGGGGAAGAATATTGAAAGCGAGCTTTTAATCTATCTACTGCTGCCTTCTTCCCTTACTGTGTACTGAAAGAGTCAATGCAATGTCTCTTCCCACTTTCCTTAATTTTCCTTTTAAAAGCATAATTTGTATTCTTTTCCTAGAATTCTATGTGGGTATTTTTGTTTTTTGTCTTTTTAAGAATCACCGTATCATTTCCCAAAGCAACTCTAACATTTTACATTCTCCCAGAAATGCACAGGATTCTAATTTCTCCACATTCTTGCCAATACCTGTTATTTGGCTGTGTGTGTGGTGATTTTCTTGTTTGTTTGTTTTTATTGACTTCAGACAGAAAGAGAAATAGAAACATTAATAATGAGAGAGAATCATTGATTGTCTGCCTCCTGCATGCCCCACACTGGAGATCAAGCTCATAATCCAAGCTGGGAATAGAACCATGACCTCCTGGTGCATAAGTCCACACTCAACCATGAGCCACACTGGCCAGGTTGCTATTTTGTTTTGTTTTTTTTATAATGTTCATCCTAATGGGTGTGAAATAATATCTGATTATGGTTTTGATTTGTATTTCCCTGATAGCTAGTGCTGTTAATTATCTTGTTATATGTTTATTGGTTATTTGTATATTTTCTTTTTAAAAATTAATTTTATTGCTTAAAGTATTACAAAGAATAGTATATATGTTTCCTTTATTTCCCCATTGACCTTCCCCTGGCCTCTCCTACCACCCAGTATTTTGCGTCCATTGGTTATGCATATATGTATGCATACAGGTCCTTCAATTGATCTCTTACCTCCCACCCCCAACACTCCCCAGCCTTCACAATGTAGTTTGACAGTCTGTTCAAAGCCTCTCTGCCTCTGTATCTATTTTTGTTCATTAGTTTATAAAGTTCTTTATTATCCATAAATGAGCAAGATCATGTGGTATTTTTTTTTCATTGTCTGGCTTATTTCACTTAGTATAATGCTCTCTAGTACCATCCATGCTATTGCAAATGGTAAGAATTCCTTCCTTTTTACAGCAGCATAGTATTCCATTGTGTAGATGTGCTACAGTTTTCTAATCCACTCATCTGTTGGTGGGCACTTAGCCTTTTTCCAAATCTTAGCTATGATAAATTTTTCTGCTATGAATATAGGGGCACATGTATCCTTCCTGACTTGTGTTTCTGGTTTCTTGGGATATAGTCCTATTAGTGGGATTACTGGATCAAATGGGAGTTCCATTTTTAACTTTTTGAGGAAACTCAATAATGTCTTCCACACTGGCTGTACCAGTCTGCATTCCCACCAGCAGTGCACTAGGGTTCCTTTTTCTCCGCATCCTTGCCATCACTTACCAACTCAGCATTGGCGGGGATGAGAAATACTGGTGGTTTGCCTCTCCCAGTGACATACCTTAACCTGCTTGAAAGAGGGAAGAGGGGGCCGCATCTTGTTTACCACACTCACCAGGCACCAGCAATGGAGCTTTGGTCAAACTGAACTGTAAGAATAGAGTCATTCAATGAATTAGGCTGACTCAGCAAGCAAGCAGGAGGGAAGTTTATTAGAAGGAATGGGGGGATGGAGCCACAACAGGGGAAGGTTAGAACTCAGTCTCTGCTGTCCTTGGGGTTGAATTTTATGTGCAAAATCACAAGGGGCAGAGGCTGGGGATGTAATAACTGTTCTAATGTGATAAGATGGAGTCCGTTTACCTTCAACACAATTAGTGCTGCCCCTTTAGGCTGTGGGCTGAAAGCAGCTGTTGTTATCCTTGTCTTGCTGCCTCGCCCTCAGTGTGACTGCCTACTGTTGCACCAGATAGGATGACCACAGGTTGTCCCATGAAAGTCCTTTTTAGACTTTCTAGTTCACCTGTGCCAAATGTCCTTGGCTGGCCTGTCATGAACTAGTTACAAAATCCTACCCTCCCATTTTCAGAGCCTGCAGAAATTCCTTTCATGGTTGTTGAGTCACTGCATTCTATTTAGTGCTTTCAGTTTCACATTACTCTAAACCCTTAATTTCTAGTTATGAACTTTAGGAAGTCAGGACAGCCACGTCACATCAGAGTTTAAATAAAAGCCCAAACATCCCATCCAGTGAAAAGCAGAGAAGAAAAACCTCTGCAACCTACACTGAGGAGAAAGAAAAGGTAAGAATTATTCTCATTAAGGCAGCTTTCTCCCCACATCTACAGGAACTGTACGCTGAGAAATAAAGTCCAGAATAAGGTTGGGGCAGGGTAGGAGAGATTTATAAGCGTCAGTTCATTTTCCAAAAAACAATAAGCATGAAGATAAGGTTGAAGCAAAGCCTGTGTGGGGCAGACGATGAAATCCAAACCCATCGATATCATGTGGCAGCAATCCCTAAGCATTTCTACTGTGCTTGGAGGAATTAGACAGCAGCAGACATGGGGCTAAGCTCAGACTTTGAAATGCATTATGGTTGTCGTTCTTTTTGCCAACATTGTGTTGTCTGCAGACTCAGTTAAATCACCATTGTCTTTGATGGAACTTGTTCAATCTGCTCTGACTGCAGCTCACACACTGAAAGGGCTACAGATTTGTTATTTTCATGAGAAAGAAGCATAGAAAATGAGATGCAGCATAAACAGCCACCTGACACTGTTAAAAAAGAAAAACCTGAAACTCAGTCTAAAAGACGAAGATTCACAAAAACACTATAAATTTTAATCATATAGATGAGCTTTGTTTCACAGTGGATTACTCATTTAAAAGTAACCCAGGTTCTGGTTGCCAGATATGAGGGAGAATTGGGGCTGGGTGAAAATGGGAAAGGGATTAAGAAATACAAATTGGCAGTTATAAAACAGTCAAAGGGATGTAAAGTAAAGCCTAGAGAATATAGTCACTAATCTATAATAATTAAAGGGCAATATGCTAATTAGACCAGACATCATTCCAGACATCCTTCCTGATGGACAGAAGTCAGCTTGGGTCCTCAGTGCCTGTGGTGGCCTCAGGGAAGCCAGCTAGGGTCCTTGGTGCCTGCAGGTGGCCAGAGGACAGAAGCTCAGGTCTCAGGTGCCAGAGAGATGCTGGTACTAGCAGCTAGGGGAAGGAACACATTTACTCTTGCACACATTTTTGTTCATAGGGCATCTAGTCTATTATATATAATAAAAGCCTAAGCAACCATTACTTTGGAACAACCAGAATGACTGGTTGCTATGATGGGCACTGACCATGGGTGGGGAAGAAGTTCAATGCAGCATTTGCATCCTGGTGGTCAGTGTGTTCCCATAGCCAACCTCGTGCAACTGACCAACTTCCTGCCACCCTTTCCCCAGCCAGCCAGCCTCTGCAGCCCTTCTCACTCCCATCTGGCCAACCTCCCAGGCCCCTTCCCCTGGCTGGCCAATCTCCCTCAGCCCCTTACCCTGTCCAGCGGCCCTGATTAGAACACATCCAGACTCAGCAAGACACTCTGATGAGCCCCAATCACCGGCCAGACTGAGGAACCCCACCCATGCACAAATTTGTGCTCCAGGCCTCTAATAATGTAAAAATTATGTATGCTGACATGTAGATACTAGACCCACAGAAGGGAGCCTTTTAAGGTATACAAATGTCTAACTACTATGTAGTACACTGAAACTCATATAATATTGATTATCAACTGTAATTTAAAAAAAACAATTTTTTAAAATAAAATAAAATTTAAAAATAGCTTCAGTTTACTAGATGTAATTTCTTAGGGCCAACTTCTTTCTTATCCCTTGCAAGTAGAATTTGGCCCCACTACTTTATGTACTAAACTCTAAAATGTTTTCTCTTTAATGAACCTGCATTGCTAAAGCCAACATTTTGTTCACCTGACATTTCTGTGCTCTCAAGTAGAATTGCTCTTGCTTTCTGGAAACTGCCTCTGAATTCCTTGGCTTTGCATGAACTTTAGTCATCACCTACTTGTCTGTCAACCCTCTCTCTCTTCCCTTTCAGCTCTTCCTCTCCCTCTCCTCCCCAGTATTCTCCCTTCCTGTATGCTTCCTGCTTCTCCTTCTCCTCTACCAAATGGAAAAACAGAACAAAACAGAAAACCTACAAGTGTGTGACTGGAAATATATTTTCATCAAACAACCTAGGCTCTCCTGATTTTTTAATCCACATTTCATAGTCTTTTGTTACCTTACACCACACTCATGTACACACAAACATGGTTTTGGACAATATTCTCTATTTGCAGTTGTGCAGTCTTATCCCCTTTTAGTTGGAGGCTAATTTTTTGTGAAGCTAATGATTCACAAAAATTGTCCAAAGAGCATACATCAAATAATGAAACATTTATTCCCAAAAGTCTTTATTCATAGTATAATTAATTAACAAATAAATGTTAAATTAAATTAATAAATATTAAATAATATATTTAATATTATATATTTCATGTCTAGCAAATATTTTTATATATTTTTATTGATTTCTAGAGAGAGACAGAAAGGTGGAAACATCAATAATGAGAGAGAAATATTGATTTCTCTGCCTCTTATGCATCCCCTACTGGGGATCAAGCCTGAAACCTCAAGGTCCTGAAACTTCAAGACTTCCTGGTTCATGGGCCCATGCTCAACCACTGAGATACACCATGAAGGCTCTAGTATAAATATTTTATTGAGAATCTAAAAAGAAAGTTTTCGATGGTAGATAAAAGATTTTGTTCATGAAAGTGGTTAAATGCTTATGTCCTTGTCATTCCAATATTTTTTTAATGACCCAGTTCAATTGCATTTCTGTAACTTTCTAAAATAACACAAATCTTCCCCTCATCCATCTCACTGTTGACCAGTTCTTCTGGCCATGTTGGGGAATTTCATAACTATCTTCTGAATCAAAATACCTGGTGAAAGTTTTAGATCTACTGAGAATGGAAGTTCTAATCCATCCCATCTCCTTGCTTGCAGATAAGGTGACACCCTGGACATGGCCTCAGACATGCACATGCCAGGCCCGGTGTGCCTCATTGAGAACACTGACACACAACTAGTGGTTAACCCAGAAGCTTTGAAGATCCTGTCTGCCATTACACAGCCTGTGGTGGTGGTGGCCATTGTGGGTCCCTACCGCACAGGCAAATCCTACCTGATGAACAAGCTGGCTGGGCAGAAAAAAGGTGAGGGGCATCAGCTAAGCTCTGCCAGATCCCTTCTCTACACCCACACTCCCAGCTTTGAATTCAGTGTTACAGGAAGAGCAAGGTAGAGATGTGGAGGTATATTGAAAGTGAGGTTTTAATCTATAGTTATCCTCTTATCTTTACTATGATCTGAAAGAGTCAATTCCTTGTCTCTTCCCACTTTCCTTAATTTTCCTTTTAAAAGCACAATTTGTATTCTTTTCCTGGAAATCTGTTTAATTGTTTAAAGATTCACCGAATCATTTCCAACATCTCTACCATTTACATTTTTCCCAGATATGCACTGGATTCTAATTTGTCCAAATTCTTGCCAAAACTTGTTATTTAGCTCTGTGTGTGTGGTGTTTTTTGTTGTTGTTTGTTTTTATTGACTTCAGACATGATGAGAGATATATAGAAACATTAATAATGAGAGAGAAACATTGTCTGCCACCTGAAAGCCCCACACTGGGGATCAAGCTCACAACCCAAGCTGAGAATTGAACCATGAATTCCCGGTTCATAGGTCCACTCTTAACCACAGGCCACAAGCGAGGCTGTTATTTATTTTTTTGATAGTGATCATCCTAATGGTATCAAATGCTATCTCTTTGTGGTTTTGATTTGGAAATCCCTGATAGCTAGTGATATTTATTATCTTCTATGTGATTATTGGTTTTTGTATTTTTCTTTAAAGAAATGTCTGTTCAAATCCTTTGCTCACTTTTTCATTATCTTGTTTGTTTTCTGGGGTTGCATTGCAGGACCTTTTTTATATATTCTGGATATTAATCCCTTAACTAAGGAGTATTTCCCCCCATTCCATAGGATATCTATGAAACTCTGTTGATAGTATCCTTTGACCCACAAAAGTTTTAATTTTGAATCCAACTTATCTATTTTTCTTTTGTTGTTTATGCTTTTGGTGTCATATCTAAGAAATCATTCTAAATTTGATATTATGAAATTTCCCCCCTATGTTTTCTTCTATGAAATTTATAGTTTTAGCTCTTATTTATATGTCTTTGAACTCTTTTGGTTAATTTTGTAGGAGGAAAATCTTTCTCTCTTACACCATAGAGTGTGATGCTGGCTGAAGAATTTTCATATATAACTTTTATTATGTTGAGTTAGTTTTCTTTTACTCCTAATTGGTTAATGGTTCTATAATAAAAATGTGTTGAATGTTTTTATGTTCTGGATATTTGAATTTCCCTGTTTCTCTGTAGTTTTTTTTTATTATTATTATTAATGTACTAGAGGCCCAGTGAATGAAATTTGTTTATGGTAGGGTAGGGTGTCCTTCAGCCCAGCCTACACCCTCTCCAATCTGGGACACCTCAAGAGATGTCCAATCCTACTGGGATCGGGCCTAAACAAGCAGTTGGACATTCCTTTTACAATCCAGGACTGCTGACTCCCAACTGCTCGCCTGCATCCCTTCCTGGTTGCTACTAACCGCTTCTGCCTGCCAGACTGAGACACTCCCTAACCACTCCCCTGCCAGCCTGATTGATGCCTAAGTGCTCTCCTGCCAGCCTGTTTGCCTTTACCTTCCCTCTCCTGCAGTCCTGGTCTCCCTTCAACTGCTCTCCCCTGTAGGCCTGGGTCCCTCCTAACTGCCCTTCCCTACAGGCCTGGTCGCCCTCAACTTCCCTCCTCTGCCAGCCTGACAACACTAACTGCCCTCCCCTGCAGGCTTGCTGGCCCAAAACTGCCCTCCCTTGCAGGCCTGGTCCCTCCCAACTGTCCTTCCCTGCTGGCCATTTTGTGTCCACATAGGAGCAGCCATCCTGTGTGTTGGAGTGATGATGATCAATCTGCATATTACTGTTTTATTACATAGAATAGAGGCCTGGTGCATGGGTGGGGGCCAGCTGGCATGCCTTAAAGGGTGTCCTGGATAAGGGTGGGGGTTCCCTTGGGGCATGGGATAGCCTAGGCTAGGGGCCTGTGGTGGTTTGCAGACTGGCCATGCTCCCTAGTGACCCTAGTGGAGGCGTGGTATCTGGGGTTTATTTATCTTCTACAACTGAAACTTTGTAGTTTCTAGGGGAGCCAAGCCTTCTGCTTGCTCTGTGGCAGCAGCCATTTCTGTTGAAACTTGTGTATCTCCTATAATTGAAACTTTGTAGCCTGAAGCCAAGGCCTGGGCTGGCCAGGGTGTGTTGAAAGCTTGACTTCCTACATCATTGGAGGCAAACCTAGCCTCCTGCTCTTATACCTGCATGGTTTCCACCATTTTTGTTTGAATTTATGTATATTCTATCATTGTAACTTTGTAGCCTTGAGTGGAAGAATAGGCCAGCAAGAGCAGATGGAAAGCTTGGCGTCCTCCATCGCTGGGGAAACCCAAGCCTCCCTCCTGCTCTCTGTGGCCATAGCTATCTTGGTCGGGTTTATTTGCATATCTGCTTCTGATTGCCCGGTGGGCATGGCTTGTGAGAATGGCTTCTGAGTATAGTGTAGTGATGGTTAATTTGCATATTACTCTTATATTAGATAAGATTTTTATTGATTTCAGAGAAGAAAAAAGAGGGAGAGAGAGTTAGAAACATCAGTGATTAAGAGAGAATCATTGATCGGCTCCCTTCTGCACACCCCACACTAAGGATGGAGTCAATAACAAGGCATGTACTTTCCCTCTTAATGGAACCATGACATCCTGGTTCTTAGGTCGACACTCAACCTCTGAGACATGCCAGACAAGCCACTGTTTATAGTCTCTCCTTACCTTGATTATGTTCACATTTATTTTCATTTTAAGACACATCTGCTATGAAAACTCAACTCCCTCTCTCTCCTATCCCCTGAAGGCTTCTCTCTGGGCTCCACGGTTCAGTCTCACACCAAAGGCATCTGGATGTTGTGTGTGCCTCACCCTAAGAAACCAGACTACACCCTAGTTCTGCTTGACACTGAGGGGCTGGGAAATGTAGAGAAGGTAAGCATTGAAGATTTAGTTTGGACACAATCCCCTCATTTCTGGGTATTGTCTACACTATTTAATATTTTTACTTCTCTTTTTTTAAATTTTATTATTTTAATTTTTATTCAAATAAGAGCTGGCACTAAACCATATGTGTGTGTTTTTTTCATTTCTGTTTACATGCTAAGAGACCAAGTTTTGCAATCAGAAATAATAAAAATATAAGGCAGAATCCTAGAAGAGCATAGTGGTCATTAGATAGTATTATAATTATTAACAAGAGGCTATAAGTTAAATCAGTTAACACAGATGCATAAAGGTACTACAAACAAAATCAGCTATGAGTTCTGTCCTACAGAGAACTTTAATTAAGGATTAATGTTCAGAAGACCTAAACTGTTGTGGGGAAGTAAACGCTGTCATTAACACATTGGCCTTAGCAAATTATTACACTTCTTTTAACTTCAGCTTTCTGATCTGTAAAAGTAATGTAAACAGTCTATATTTGCCTCATAGTACTGTTTTGACTATTTGATAAGAATGGAAAGTGTTAGGTGAATAATAATGACTAGATATAATAGATATAAGTATTATTACTCTTACATAAGTCAATTTTAGTGTAAAAACATAGAGAAAACCAAATTACATTTAAGTCTTTAGAGTGCCCACCAATCTGAACTATTTCTTTTGCAATTATCTGCCAATGGTCATAAAAGGTCTTAGTGAGAATATGTGTAACCAAAAGTACTAATCAGAAGAGTATTCAAAGTCCAAGACCTTCTAACAATCATTTTCTTTTGGATTTGTTTCCCTCTTATAAGTCATTAATCTAAAAAAAAGCCACTGTACTAAATGAGTATACATTTACTATTGCTGATCCAGAAAGTGCCATGAGAATAAAACATTATCCTGGCCCAAATGTGTTCTGATTTCCAGAATAGCAACAAAAGTGACTCCTGGATCTTTGCCCTGGCAATACTGCTGAGCAGCACCTTTGTGTACAACAGCATGGGGACCATAAACCAGCAAGCCATGGACCAACTGTAGTATCCTTTTTGTGATGCAGAACAGCATCAAAATCAGAGGGTAGGTGCCAAGAACAAATTCCAGCTTGTAATAATTACAAGAGTTTTGCCAAAAGGTTGGTGAAGCTTGGGTGGCTCAACAATGGCTGAGCCACATATGTAGTTTACCTGTTGGAAACAGCAAAGGCACTTCCCTCAAACATGAATAGGATTACCGTTAACTGCCAGACAGCTCAGGATATTTTATTATAAACACCAGAACAGCTGTAGGCTATTCCCCAAACTGACAAGGCTTCTCTACCCGTAGATACCACACTCTTGAAGTGTATTATCTCCACCTTGCCTTGGGACAAATTGTGTTAAATAAAAGCTGGATCCTTAGTGAAGGAGGAGTCTTCAGTTCCCTTTAGCTGAAACTCCTGTGACCTCCAATGCCTTTCAAAAATATCTTTTATCATCTTTGGACTCCTCTTGAATCTACAAGCAGCCCTTTTCTCCAGAATGTTGAACCTTTTGTAAGGCTGGTAAAAGAACCCGAGGAGGAAGCCCTGTACTTAAAAGCCAGCTCCCAGAATGTGAATCCTGGTGAATCAAGCACAATAAGAGAAAGTATAAAAAATAACTCAAGGGCAGGAAGAAATAACACTTGAGTTAGAAACAAAGCAAAAACAAAGGTTTGGAATATGTGGGACTAATATGGCATGAGAAGCACTGTTCATTTACACCATTTTCCTTAGTTTGCTACTCAGCTATGTGACAGAGCTGACAGATAAGATAAGGGCAAAATCTTTACCTGATGCAAATGAGGATGAAGACTCAGCTGACTTTGTGAGCTTCTTTCCAGATTTTGTGTGGACACTGAGGGATTTTCCCCTAGATTTGGAAGTAGATGGGCAACCCATCTCAGCAGACGAGTTCCTGCAGAATTTACTCAAACTCAAGCAAGGTAAAGTGGGCTTAGAACTGATTATTGGGAACCACAAGCCATGAGAAACCATCATCTTTTATTTTTCTAATAGTGTTTTTACATGTATAGTTTTCTACTTCTCAGCTGCCAAATTCTAATAATTAATTTTGAATTATCTTCTCCCCTGTTCTAAGAAAAGTTTCTCTTTTTTTCACCTTTCATGTACTGTGATCATTTTGATTTTTATCTCCCTGCTTAGGGCTTGTGATGCTGTAATTAGCCAAAGAATATGGAATGGAATGGGCATTTATTTAAAGAAAATAGATTAAAGCATAACAATGTGCAAGGCCAGGGGTTGGCAAACTATAGCCCACAGGCAAATGATGGGCAAGGCAGCCCGTCAACTCTCGTACAAATAGGTTTTACTGGGTGAATACTATTAGATGGTCCATGGCTGCTTTCATGCTATATAGCAGAATTGAATTCTTAGAAAATACATGACCTGCAATGTCTAATATATATACTATTTGGACATTTACAGAAAAATTTTCCAAGCCCCTATATTAAACAAAGCCCTTTTTTATCTTTCTACAGGTACCAGTCCTAAAGATGAAAAGTTTAACCTGCCCCGACTCTGTATCCGAAAGTTCTTCCCAAAGAAGAAATGTTTTATCTTTGATCGGCCCACTCATCGGAAGAAGCTACGCCAACTTGAGACAATGCATGATGATGAGCTGGACCCTGATTTCGTGCAACAAGCTACTAACTTCTGTTCCTACATCTTTACCAATTCCAAAGTCAAAACTCTTTCAGGAAACATCCAGGTCAATGGACCCCGTGAGTCTTCTTCCCAGTCATTACTCTCACTGTTAAGGCTAAAGGAAGGTGGAATAGCATCCGCCTAGTTTCAGACTTGAAAAATGCAAATATACTATTATTGCTGTGGTACATTCTGGATGACACATTTCTAATAGATTTTATTAGACAGATTTTGTGGGTGAGAATTGATAGAAAAAGACAAATTAAAAAGATCTATTGCTTAAAATTTCCCTAATAACTTGGACCTGTACTATTCCATATAATAGCTACTAGACAAGTGTAGTAGCTTCATATAACTAAACTTACATGTAGAATAATTAGAATTAAAAAAAAATTAAGTATTCTGATTAGATGTCTAGGGGTTGCATTATTGGTCAGCACATATAGCACAGGACCATCATCACAGAAAGTACTTTTGGAAAATGTTCCTCCAGAATGAAAAAAATGGAGGACTCCTTTTTAAATTTATTTTTAGTTTTTTAATCGTCAGCCAAGGAAGTTTTCCCATGAATTTAAGAGAGAGAAACATCAATGTGAGAGAGAATCACTAATCAGTTACCTCCTGCATGCGCCCCAACTGGGATTGAACCTAGGTGTGTGCCCTGACCAAGAATCACATCCACAACCTTTTGGAGCATGGGACAATGCTCCAACCAACTGAGCCACCTGGCCAGGGCAGAGGAGTTCTTTTTAATTGTTTCACAAATATTCATTTTATAAATACTTACCATGGACCAGAACTGATGACAGAGACATGAATGAGAGGTACATTTCCTGTCATAAAGGTGCTTAGGGGTAAATCACATGCCCTCAATAAACACAGATCTATGGTGCCAAGAACAGAGTTTATCATCCTTTGATGTGGATCCATATCACCCAAGATCTCGCCTGAGGAAGATTTAATTCATTTCATCTGGAACAGAGGCTGAGAGTCTGCATTTTTAACAAACTTCTAGGGGATGCTGAGGACATCGATGCTGTGAGCCAAATGAGTGTTGAGAGATATCACCAGATTTATGGATGATGAACAGTTTCCTCACCCCACCTACAACAAATGTTATCCTTTGTTCTCTATTTGTAGGGCTGGAGACTCTGGTGATGACCTATGTCGATGCCATCAGCAGTGGGGACCTGCCCTGCATGGAGAACGCAGTCCTGGCCTTGGCCCAGATAGAGAACTCAGCTGCAGTGAAAAAGGCCATTGCCCACTATGACCAGCAGATGGGGGAGAAGGTTGAACTGCCCACAGAAACCCTCCAAGAGCTCCTGGATCTGCACATGGCCAGTGGGAAAGAGGCCAATGAAGTCTTCATGAAGAATTCCTTCAAGGATGTAGACCATTTATTTCTAAAGGAATTAGAGGTAATTTTTTTTCTTATGTTATATGTATTAGGGCAGTGGTTGGCAAACCGTGGCCCTTGAGCCACATGCAGCTCTTTGGCCCCTTGAGTGTGGCTCTTCCACAAAACACCACAGCCTGGGCAAGTCTATTATGAAGAAGTGGTGTTAGAAAGACTTTAAATTTAAAAAATTTAACTCTCAAAAAAAAGTTGAATAGTTGTACTTTTGATATTTCTCTCTGTTGACTAATGAGTTTGCTGACCACTATTATAACCAAAAGAAAAAAAATATGTAGTCTTAGTTATATTGAGCAGGCTTACATTGAGTCACATTTTTTCCATTTGCAATTGCTGTTCCAATCTGAAAGCAGAAGTTTCTTTCCAAAGGTGTAGGTATAGGAATATAGAACCTAGTCCAGACCTATGTCAATGCCATCAGCAGTGGGGACCTACTCTGCATGGAGAATGCAGTCCTGGCCTCGGACCAGATAGAGAACTTAGCTGCAGTGCAAAGTTTAAAAGAACTAAGCTGCAGTGCAAAAGGCCGTGGCCCCCTATGACCTGCAGATCAGTAGCATAAATGCTAACATAAAGCTAGCAATCTCTGCCATGAAATTCACCTCCAAGGAGAAAGGAACTTCAGTAGAAAGACAGGATCAGGAGAAAGGATGTGGTCCTGCAAAGGTGCCTGTAAGTTTTTGCAGGATCACAGACTGGTTTTGGAGAAGCCTTTCCAAAAATCCTGAGGTTGAGCTAACATTTCCTCTGTACTCTTTCTACTTCCTATTTTCACATTAAAGGCCCAGCTAGAAAAAAGGCGGGATGACTTTTATAAAGAGAATATAAAAGCATCATCGGATCGCTGCTCAGCTTTACTTAAGGATATCTTCCATTCTTTAGAAGAAGATATAAAGCAGGGGGTTTATTCTAAACCAGGAGGATATCATCTCTTAATGCAGACTGTGAATGAGCTCAAGAAAAAGTATCTTCAGGAACCCAGGAAGGGAATACAGGTAACCAACATTTATCTGTCTCTCTGTTCCTTCCTCCAACTCCACACTTCCCTCGACCCAGTCTCCCTCAACCTCCTTACCTTGGATCTGCTCTCTCCATGATGGCTTCATCCTCACTCCATATGAAATCACAGCACCAACAGCTCAAAAAATAGAGCCTTCACATGAGAAGAGACACTCTGTATCTATATTTATACCAATTTCTTACAAAGGATTCTGCTTCATCGGGTACCAGGGTTGGCCAACCTGGAGAATATGCCCAACCAGTGACAGGGGCACCTTGACTAGCAAAAGGAACAGGGCCAAGTGAAGTGATTCCTACAAGAAAAGATGGTGGGCAAATAGGAATAAGCGCTTGCAGCGATTTCCTATCACTAATGCCATTTTATCGATGTCTTAGAGTGAAGAAGTTCTTCAAACATACCTCAAGTCCAAGGAGTCTGTGATTGATGCAATTCTACAGACAGACCAGACTCTCACAGAAAAGGAAAAGGAGATCGAAGGTGAGGAGCAAGTCAAGAGACTAGATAGCCTCAGCAGCTTTTAAAAGTTTAAATAATTTGGCTTGGAGAACCTCGGGTCCTTAAACTAAAGCCAGATGAGCAAAGATGCCTACTACTAGCCAAAGTTAGTCTCAGTGGGCAAATGCAGTCAGCAGCAATGTCAGGTGAGTGCACAAAGAAGAAAAAGCGAGGTGGTCACCCACATGAATTTGTCTTTTTCCTTTCCTCCTGGCAGTGAACCGTGTGAAAGCTGAATTTGCAGAGGCTGCAGCAAAAATGCTGGAGGAAATTCAAAAGAAGAATCAGCAGATGATGGAGGAGAGCAAAAAGTGTTCTCAGGAACATGTGAAGCAACTGATTGAGAAGATGGAGCAGGAGAGGGCCCAATTAAAGGCGGAGCAGAGTAGGGCTGTGGCTACAATTCTACAGACAGACCAGAC